CAGTTTTCTGGCTTCTAGGAGCACCAGGCATACATATATTATATGTACATACCATGTCTACAGATATGTCTTCAGACATGCATGTAGACAAAACACCCTTACACTTTAAAATAAATAAAATAAATTTAGCAGTGGAATGCATCACTGGATTCTGCTAGTTTGTGAGCTGAATGTAGACACTACCATATAAGCTAATTGTATCTTAGGCCCTGCAATATCTTAGGCCCTGCAGATGAACCTAACATTTAACTAAGGCAGAGCCTAGCCTACCAGACATGACAATAATTTGTCTTCAGTATACATACGAATTTTGTAGTAGGGTGGTTTGGTAATTCAGATTGCAAGGCACTGGGATCAGAATTGATGCTCAGAAATGTTAATATCTAAGGGTGTGAGAGTTCACAGAAAGACTAACCCCACATATCCACACATACCACACAGTAACTTGCTTGGACATAAAAGAGTGAAAGCAACATGTCACCTTTTGTTGTTGATGAGCGTGATGTCAATATACATCCAAAATGTTTTCTTAAGTTTGGGCTCAATTGTAAACCTGTTATGCTTCATCATGAATAGTGAGATCCTTGTCAGGATAGGGATATCCCATAAAACCTAAAACATCGAAGAGTACATTGAATACACACATTGACACACATAGGAAGAAGCGGTAGAGAATAAGGAATGAAGGGGAAAGGGGGATAAGAGGAAGCCAAATTGAAAAGCTTGGTTTACTCCAACTCCTCACCAGTAAAGTAACCCACACCTATGGGAGGGAAAAGGTTTCAAAAAACAGGCCAGGAAGGCCTTCCTCTTGGGACTGGAATAGTAGAGGGACACAGCTTTCCATTAGCTATTGACTTTTATTTTGTAGCTCAGTGGCTTAGTCCCAGGAGGTGTAGGCATGATGTCTCTGAAGTGATGACCCCTAGACCATATCCAAGAAAAAAACAAAACAATACAAAACAAAACAAAGCAAAAACAAAAAAAGGTATAGAGCAGCCTAAGCATTATGCAAGTAGACACACAAAGAAAAGTGTGTAGCATTTGACACTTGTAAAATCATTTAAATGTGTGTATTTACAAGAGTCATAGTGATGCCAAGGCAATGAAAAGTTGGTGTGTTCTAAAAGATGAACACAGAGAACACACAGTAGTCTAGAGTCTAGAGTCCTTCCCTCCAACAGTATTGCTGCTGACAGTTCCCTTTCCATAGCCATAGACCTCAGTGGGCTTGGGAGACACACACCAAGCAGACTACTTAGGGAATGCATAAGCCTACATGCAGAACACAAGGGTGCTGAGAAACTAATAAGAAAAATCATTTCTGATCACTTCTGTTGTAATAATTGATATAACAGCTAATGAACACACTTAAAGTGAAATGAAGTCTTCTAGCTGTTGATTATTTTGCTTTTTTTCAGACAATAAATATAAACTTATAATTATATTCCTTGTTAATTCTTACTTTTTTGTATAACATTGAGTGAATGAGTGATATGCTGCCGGCAGAAGAAACATAGTTTAGGCTTGAGAGATAATTTGAATGCTTTCTTGGTTATCCCTGAAGATTTTTAAGTTTAAGCTTTTTGTGATAATATAGCTGCTACTCTTTTTATCCTTACAGTTCTCCAACTGAGGGACACTGACTCCTGAGATCAATAGCTACATAAAAGAAGCATTATGTTGGGAATAGGAGAGGGTAAAATAGCATGTCCCTTAAAAAAAAAAATAGGAGCAAGGGTACTGGTACTGTTGACACTGCCAACTGACAGCACAGTATTCAGGGGAGGGCATTTGACATTGATGGAACACTTTTCTACCATGCATGGGAACCTCTGTGCAATCTCCATTATAGTAAAATAAATAAATAAATAAATAAATAAATAAATAAACCAAAGTAAAAGAAAGCATTCACTTGTAGATGTTTGGATTGCATTGACAGTAATTTATCAGAATGAGAACTATAATAGCTCAGTCAGTAAGGTGCTTGATGTTCTAGCATGAGAACCTGAGTTCACTCCCAGCATCAATGGAAAAGCCTGAGTATGGGAGAGCACATCTGTAACAAGGCTAGGCGACAGGGATAGGACTGTTTCAGGGGCTCACTGACCTCCAGTCTAGCTGGAACGGCAAAATCTAAGTTCATTAACAGACTTTATTTGAAAATTTAATGTGCGGAACAATGCAAGGAGGCACTTGATGTCACCCTCTACCCTCCCACATACACACCCATAGGCAAGCATATTTGCATGTATACACATGCACACCACACACAAATACACAGAAAGACGTTAAGGGACACTAACACAAAATTTCAAATGGGCTTCCTAGTTAAGAGAAATATAACCAAAAGACTCATTTGTATGTCCACATTTGTTAAACACCTACTATGTGAAATATGACTCAGATCTTGCCCATGCACTAATGTATGAATATGGGACAGTTACATAGGAGGTGAAAGTATGAGTAGTATGGGTAGTCATTAATTTAAGGGATGTTAATCATCTGAAAGCACAAATATTGATAGGAAGTACTAAATAAAGACATCTGCTTCAATGCCATGAATACAAAGTATAGCTGAGACTCAGAGTTATGTGTTAAGTGTCAAGCTCAATACGGTCTATGAGAGGAGTGTGGGCAGGGACTAGCAGGTGCAAATATGGCTCTGCTGAGGGACTGCGTAATGAACAAGAAGCAAGAACACAAATAACACCCTACAGTTTTGTTGGGTAGGAATGAAGCATTAGCTAGGAAAAGACTTGTTTTAAGCAATAGGCTAAGTACAAATCACATAGGGATGGTGCAAAAATACAAAATTTGGATTTTTAGATATTAAAAGTTCATCTTCCTTGAAATGCAGGTAGCCGTTCTCCATGCAATAAAACCTCATACCCTGTTTGTCAGTTCTGAGTATATGGTACCTTTATCCATTACTTTTCTGTTGCTATTATAAAATGTCATGATCAAAATTCACTTATGAAAGAGTTTATTTTTGATTATGGCTCCAGAGGAGATAAGAGTCCTCCTTCATGGCAAGAAAATATGATTGCAAGCAGCAGGAATGGGAGGAATGGGATCAGGAGCTGGAAGCTAGGAGATCTCATCAACCACAAATATGAAGGAAAGAAAGAAGTAAAAGTAGGATGAGTCTATAAACTCTCAAAATCTACCCTCAGTGATGTAGTTCCCTCAGCAAGGCCATACCACCTTTCTAAACAGCATTACCAACTTGTGACCAAATTTTCAAATGCCTGAGCCTAGGAGAGGCATTCCTCAATCAAGCCACCATACTTTTATTTGGTCTTGCTTTTTGATGCCTTCTATCAAGCCAAAAATGTTGGGGATCCTAACCAAGACTCCTTAATTTGTATAAGCTATGACCTCCAAATACTACTTTGGCTTTGTCAGGTGCTCTTATGTAAGATACCCAAATTATTATTAAGTGCCAGGATTATGATCCCAGCTTCTCAGCTGAGGGGCCAAGCCTTTTTCATCTGGTTGTTCTGCACCAAAATCCCAATATTCTTGCACAATACATTAGTTGGATCTTGCACTCTTTAAACTGATCACCTACATTGACAAAGTGAATGGTAGTATTTTTCCCATGCCATGTGTTTGTGCTAGGATAATGATTTAGATAGCAGCTCAATAAATTGATCAAATAAATTACACCAAACTTTTGCACCATTATTTCAGAGAGCTGTCACCATACCAAGGATGTTCTATATCACCCAGCGTGGTGTTCCAACAGTACTGCTATGTTTTCTTAGCATGCTGGTGAGTTTTTATTTGGCCAGAAAGCTTTTTATTTCTCAGACTGACAAACAACATAAGAAATTTCACTCTAGAAGGTTAGCTATGAAAGCCATCAATGGCTAGTTTTGTGACTATTAGCACATCATTTAAAGTCCCTAAGCCTTTCTCTTTCTATGAGATATGGATTTATGACACCTACATCAAAACTAGTAAGAGTAAGAACTAATTCATTAAAAAGAAAGGGATATAGATGTCAGACAAATGCAGATCCACATACTAGCTCCATCAGGGCTTCTATTAATCACTGGTCATATGAGAGCCTCAAGCCCTAGTCAATAATTTCTAATTTTTATTATAGGTAATTCTAAGACAATACCTTTTATAGATGTCTTACTAGATCATCTTAATAAAGCCAGATTTGATAACATTCCTGGAAGGCTCAGAAATTTAGTCCTACCTATATTCCAGACACATAACCCTAAGCGATGGACTATAAATCTAACCCATATGTGATGTCATGCTTTGCCAGAGACAAGGACAACTACAGTGACAGAAGAGTAAATATCCCCTCAGATGACACTCTTGGGTTGACATGGTGCTTATTGACATAGATTGATGTGTTTTAGGAGTAGTAAGAACAGACACATTGTGAAGAGCTTGTCACAGAGTGCCACTTCCCTTATGGGCTCTCATCTAATCAAAGGAGGATCATTCCCTATGCTTTGATATTAAAACAAAACAAACAAACATTTGCAGCTCAGGTTCAGAATGCTAGTAAATCAATATACAATGGAAAAACATCAGCTTAAAATGCTTGAAGATTAGCATGTCAGGCTATAAAGATATGCCTCATGACCTGTGATTTTGGGAATGCATACATACATGGGTAGATGGATGGATGGATGGATGGATGGATGGATGGATGGATGGATGGATGGATAGATGGACACTCTGGCTTTATCAGAGATAGATAGATGACCTTGGACAAAGTAATTAACTCTTCTGAGAAGCTATCTTTTCTCTGTAAAATAGAGATAATAAAAGCAGCTGCCTAATTATAAAAATGAAATATGTTAATGCAAGTTAAACACTTAGATCAGGACCTGACACTTAGTTTAAAAGCCCCCAGTGAATATGAATTGTTATTATGATAATCTGCATAATCATTCCTTGTGTTCCATACTTTTCAGCTCTAGATGCCTGACTGCTGCCTATAAGGTATCTGTGTATTCTGTGTTTTACAGGGCAACAGGTCCTGGGCTTGGTAGAAAACCAGAGTGACTGGTATCTTGGAAATCTCTGGAAAAACCACCGTCCATGGCCAGCCCTTGGAAGGGGCTATAACACAGGTAAATCATAAGGGCAATGTGTGTGGCGGGGGGGGAGGTGTGCATAGAGAGTGAGTAATACATAGACTAATAAGTCCCTTCTCAAAGAAAGGAGATGAGCAGCAACATGGAGGAGGCCGCCTGGTTTTCTGTTTTTTTATCAGGGCACAAGACATACACAGGTAACACCTCCAGTTATTATTTCATGCCACTACAGGTGATGAAGCAGTTGAACTGTGGAAGCCTTATGGTAGTCTTGCCAGAAAGCTCCTCTGATGACTTTAATGCTGAGAGCCTATTTAGCTCTTTATCAGTTTGTCCTGTAATTTCTTTGAATATTGATATAAACCAGTGATCATTCTGCAGTAATAAATCCAATATTCGGTTCCTTAATTGAGCAGATGTTGTCTTTCCCAGTCATATCACATACACTTTAGATCTGCACTCACAATAGGTATCAGCATTTATCATGCTGCACTCTTCCATGTATAGACTGCAAAAGTAGCAGGAGCTCATATTCCCTCTTACCCTTCCTCTCATCAAAAGGTCCATGTACAGCCTACCCAGGAGGTAGCAGGAGAATAGGTAGACATATTTGGACCTTGGTACTTCTAAGTACTTCATTCCTCAAATATATGCTTAAAATCAGGTAATTTATTCTACTTTGTTAGTAACACCAGTCCTGCATCTTTTTTGTTTCTGTCTCTGTTACTGATACTTGTGTGGCCATTTTTTATCCAACAGCTGTCAATCCTAAGTACCCTAGATGCAGCCCATGGCCTCAGGGAATGAATAAGTAAGGAAAGTATTGCCCTCTTTTTTTCTCCCTGAAGTGCAGCTCCTCCCTGTCTGTTTCCAAAATGCCTCTGGATCCTTCTATCTCTTCAATATTCATTGTTATTGATGTTATCCTTGTTTTCTAAAAGACATACTCAATACTTTTATCAGGATTAGAACCTGGGGCCCAACAATTTCAGGTCCCAAAATGGGCTGGTACCTTTTAAGAACAGAACTGGGGCCAATGTTTGAGAAATGCACTACCTGAAGATGCTGCATAGACGGATCCTAGAGTCTGACCTCAAACTCTACAGAAAAAAAAAAGAGCCAGAAATTAACCCTGAGATCTGATGATCTGACTTCACAGAAGTCAAAATTAAATATGAGGCCCCAGAACCCAAAGGAAAAAGGATATGAGGCAAGCTTCTGGACATGCAAGTTCAGAAATAGACCCTACTAAAACTCAGTTTGACCTGTAGTTATCTTGACTATTGATACAAACCTGAAATCAATATTCACAGTGGGCGTTAAAGCTGGAAGAAGACAGGGAAAGGCCAGTGTCTGTATCCAACCAAGGAACCTTTGTTGAAGGCCATTGTTAAAGAATAGTGTGATTCCATTGCTGACAGTTGCCAAGTCATCAGGCCTGCTGCACCCCATTTATGTCTTATAAGTCTCCTAGACATAACAGAGGTTGCAGCTGAAGTTACACCTATCCACCCTTCATAGCTTGTACTTTCTTGCTGATCTGGACATTACCCTTTAGTTGCTAAGTAGAAGAGGAATCTGAGGACTCTCTCAGGAGGTGAGGAATGAGGAAGTTGAGATAAGGAGGACAAAGACACCAGGTAGGGAAGTATTTCCAAACTTGAGGAATAGGTGAGGCAGCACATGTTCTTACCTTCAGTATGTTAGTCAGACATTGCAGCTGGTGCTAATTCAAGGTAACATCATCAGAGATCTTCATGTTATTCCTATCTGTTCTTTGTATTAGAGGAAAGCAGAGATTTTAAGAGTACAGCCCTAACTTAGGAAGCCTGCAAGATTAGCTACTGTCCTTTCTAGCTCAAACTTGAATGGCTTCATAATCAAGTACTTTTTCTTATGGTTTGGTTTTATATTTTTTGAGACAAAGTCTCAGTACATAGCTCAGGCCAGCCTAGAATTTGCTATGCATCCCAGGCTGTCCTTGATCCCATAGTATACCTGCCTCTTCTTCAAGTCCTGACATTGCAGGCCATACTGACACAAACAGTCTTTTAAAATCAAATATACTGAGTTTTGCCTGTAGAGAGTCTAATGGGTCTGTACAAGAGTACAGACTGCACTGTAGAAAGTCTTTGAGATATTTATGAAGCATAATATCCAAAGCCCTCCTATAATGAAATAAGATATATTATTTCTCTCCCAAGAAGAACACTTATGACATGCACCCCTCATATATATATGTATATGTATATGTATATGTATATGTATGTGTATATGTATATGTGTATATGTATATATATATATATATGTATATATGTGTGTGTGTGTGTGTGTGTGTGTGTGTGTGTGTGTGTGTGTGTGTATGTGGTCAAAGACCTACCTCCATTGTTGTGCCATCTATCTTTTTATCTTGTTCTTTGAGACAGGGACCTAGAGTTCAATGATTAGGTTAGGCTGCCTGGTCTGCAAGCACCACCTACATAAAAGCACCTCCCCTGAGCCGAGATTGAGATTGTAATTATACACAGACACAAACACACACACTCATTCATTCTTTCATTCTCTCTCTCTCTCTCTCTCTCTCTCTCTCTCTTTCTCTCTCTCTCTCTCCCTC